AGCTCCTGAGAATGTCGCTCGTGCGCGTGCCAGTCGGCTGCTTCGTCGAGAGGGTCCCGTTCAAAGGGGGGTTTGATGGTGCCGGCGGTCATGGGTGTGGGAGGAGCGTTTGTTATCGTATGGGGCAGGAAAGAGGTCATCGTCAGATCCATCTTTCTCCGGCGAGGAAACGAAGTCGCAGTCGTCTATGATGACGGCGGGGGGACTAGAAGATACCGTCTCCTCCTCAGACGAAGGAGGTGTTAAAGGCAATGGTCGGATTGGGACTGGTAGTCTAGTTGACACTTTGGCGTCGTCTTCGACCGACGACGCCGAGGTTGATGCGGTGTGCGCAGACGAAAAGGTTGAACAGGAAGAGCCGGACGAGCTGGTTGTCGAACTGGTGGAGATGCGATTGTGGGCATTGATTGCGGTTGTCAAGTCATCGCTAGAGGAGGTCCCCTCGGACGACGAGGAATTTTCGCCTTTCCAAAGAGAGAAACTCAATCTGTGCTTCCACTTTGTCCCATCCATGCTCATCGGCCGAGCGTTGGGGCGCGGACCAAGAACATTTGGACTCGGGACCAGCGCTCCCTCAAACGGAAGTTTGACTTCGATCTCTTGGCCGTAATCTTCCTCATCTGACGAAGACGAGTCGTCCGGGGAAGAAGGCTGCAGTTCGACCTCTGCCTCTTCATCTTCGTCAGACAGGGGGGGAGTCACCAGAGTTCCAGAGTTGCCATCGTAACCTAACATCCTCTTCCAAGAGCCAGCGGACATGGTCATAGGCCGAATACTCGGTCGTGGACCATGTACTAATGAAGAGGCGCGTTTTCGGTTCTCGTGGTTGCGATCAGAAACATCCGCATCCCCGGGTGTACTTTGATGATAGACTGTTTCAGCCTCGAGATTGTCGTCGTCGTCGAGTTCGAATGCGCTTCCGGCGGCGGGTAGCAACGAGGAAGGGCGACCTTGCTCATGAGACGCATACGGGTAGATGATCTGGTCGTCTATGACTTCCAATCTCCCTCCTCGGGTCAGAACTCGTTCAACCTCTTTCAGTACAAATTTCCACTTGTCAAAGGGAATTGCGAGGGAAGCGTTGGCAATGCGGACATAGTCGAAGGAGTTTGATGGGAACGGGAGGGTGTAATGCAAGCTAATACGGACGTGTATGTGAGTAACCAATTTTGGATTGATGAGCGAGAATAGGCACGAATAACACGTACAAGTTGCCGCCAATGAACTCTATGTTTTCCCTCGCTTTTACCTGAGGCAGTCTGACGTCCATAAGATCAAGTCCGACAATTCTCGAATTAGGCCATTGTGTTGCGGCTTGAAGAAGCCAGAAACCTTGTCCGCAGGCCATATCGAGAACACAGCTCGGAGGTGACTCTCCAAGCCGCGCATAGTCGTGAAAGCTGGGAGTACCGTTCGAGTTGAGTCTTCGTAGCAATGTATTGAAATGACGATCGCTGTGTGGAACTCGTTGTCAGCAACCGAGGGCAGGCAAACAGATTCTGTCGAGGACGGGTAGAACGGGACTTACTTCTCCATCGACATATGTTCGTAAGACTGCATATAGACTGCATCGTTGCCGTGAGGGTGCATTCTCATACCGTGCTGTAGCGACCACCGGTTCTTCATCCTGAACTTGGTGGAGAACATTGAGTCTCTGTGCTCGACCGCGTACGTGTAGCGCCCTTCCTCTTCTCCACTCTCTTCGTCATTGAGCACCACAGGGACAACCAACGGCCCTGGTTTCTCCTCGTACGGTAAAGAGACAGCCTCGGTCGTTGAGACTGGGAAAATGTGTAAACGATGGTTGGGTGACGGAGGGAGGATAACGGTGGGTGGCGGATCTGTGGCCGCAAGCATGAGCAATCGAGCTACAGACCGCTTCTTCTTCAACGACTTGTCCTTTGGTAGCTTGATTGTCGATACTGCCGACGATGACGACGACTTGGGACACGAGAATTTTGACCTTGAGATCGTGCTGTCTGCGTGCTCGTCGACATGGAGGACATCCTCGGACTTCTTCTTCTCTTTCTTCTCCCGCTCCTTGCCTTTCTCTTTACTTTTACTGCTCTTCTCCTTCTTCTCCTCCTTCACTTTTTCTTTGTCTTTTTTCGATGTAATGAAGCCCATCGAAACGGGCCTGGATAATGAGTGGGATTTGGGTAGAGGTAGGAACGAACGCCGGCGGTGAAGTTTCCCAGGCCGCGAGTGGTCCTGGCTGTGCTCCGGAAGCAATCCTGCCGAGTCTGGGGGTGTAAGAAGTTGTGACTGCGAGAACGTCTGATAATGAGATTTTCTCTTGTTTGCCGTCGACGTGGGCGGTGGGGAGTGCAGGAAAATTAGGGAATAAGGGTCTGCAGAATTTGGGGGAGTGGGTAATAAAGGCGCCGAGTAATGGTCATAAGGATTGTAGCCGTTGCATGTGGCATCGTCCACAGTGGCATTGTCCTGGACCATTATGCTGGCCATTCTTGGAGGACAATGAGCTCGACGGGACAATATGGTAATGAGGTGAGAAAGGTGCAAAGGGTACGATTGATCAATGCCGCCCGTTTATGAACTTGAAAGTCCATATAGAAATTATATTGATTACTGTAATAGTAACAGTATAACAATCAACCCATTTCCAGTTCCACGCCATTCCATCAATCATCCTCTTTCTGAGGCGGTGGTCCACACGGCTGCAACATCCGCTGGCAGGAGTCAAACATCAGGGGATGAAAGTTCCAGCAGAAGAAAAAAAGCAAATTGGATCGTCAGTACTTCCCCTGAGGTTCAATTGTTCATACTGACCTCTGTCATTTCAAACTTGACACGTCCGATAGATTCCCCGTCCGCAATGGCCAGGTACGAAAGCAGTGAAGAATGCCCCACGATTGACGACAGGGTATCACGGTGCTGATGAGTGAGCCAGTCGCTGTAGAGCCACAATAGTAGCGTCAGTATGGCAATCCTACTCCAACAGCAACCCGCGGGAGCCACCCACTATTTTGTCAAATCAGCATGTCCTACAGTTACCATTCAAGGAGAGCTGTGAGTCTCTAGACCACCATAGCAGCGAGAGCACCACTGACCTGTTCCCGTATACCTGGCATGGACTATAGAACAGCTTCAATTACTAATGTCACCTGGGAAAGTGCTGTAAAAATCGACGCACGATGCTCAAGCTGAGTGTTTGCAGTGTATCTCAACTCTGACGACTAAAAAGCGGGACGACAAATGAGGATTTCGTCTACCACACGGTCGAAACAACTCACCATGAAGGACGTTCAGATTCAAAACGCGTAACACTGGTTGACGTCGGGCCGGGGTTACTCGGCGAAAACCGAACATTCCTCGGCCCTCGGGCTCGGAAATGGTAACATTCATCCGAGCCCGAGTCCGAGTCTCCGAGGCACACTCTCACAGTGACTCCATCTTCCCCACGAACGGTCTTCATTCAACTCTCCTTAGCCTGTCTTCGCGCCCGGTTTATCCTCTCTTCCCTCAGAACCTCCCTTGTTCTCTTCCGGGACGAACAGGCTCCAAAGATATCCGGATGGCTCCAAGACCCCACATTCTTGCGACAGGAACTCAGTGATGGTGATGAAAATCAAGAAACCGAATGTCCGCACCGACATCCGTCATTGCGGAGTTGGTTCACGGTCCCTTCATCTCCTCACTGGCGCAATAACCTGAGCCCATGAGTCTCGCTAGGTCCAGTCCTGGATTTGTGGAGGTATTCCAACCCTTGATCTCAATGTCCATGAATACCGTTACGCGACATATCCGGTTATTCATAATGTATCCCGCGCTGCGTCGGGAACATAGGATGCGGGATGCCGACATGGACATGTTATGGACCGGATGACTGTCCTGACTACCTGCATCTGACCTGCGTCTCCTACAGTAGCAGCGAGCGGCCGCTCCGGCAGTGGGGACCAGTCATACATACTTGCTTAGAATGTGGCGCCTTACTCATCACTGCATCGCCCACATCAACCCACAACTATTATTGTCAGGTTATGCGGACAGACGTCGACAAAGTCAGCAATCCTTAATCTTCCGATGTTGGGGGCGGTTATACGGTGCTTGAAATCGTGAGCAACCGACAAAGACCCGAACTGGACGACTTAGCCCCGTCTCAGTGCTGTATCGCACGGTGGCACCGGGACAAGGTGTACCGTGTGAGTACTCATTAGCCACCCTGCAGAATGATATATCTATTGCTCAGAACGACACGACGGTCAGAACGGAAAACCTCAGTTCGCTGACAGCGACGTTTAATTTCCGGGGGCGACCCTTCAAGCTTTCAGCCACATCCTCGAGAACCTTCTGGGGACAGAGGCATCAAGCACAGGTATTCGGGACTCCCAGTCATAGTATATAAGCGGCTCTTCGTCAACCAAACCCCGTTACCGCCTAACACACTCTACGACTCAAGATACGACCTATTCACCTCGAAGACCTCCACCTATTGGGAGACGCCCAATTTCCGACTTTGGACCACTACATACATTCATTGTTCTTCGAGCATACTCAATGGTGGAACCGAAACACTGCGTTGGCGTCTTCTATGTCTTCCTCTCTCGTACTCTACAGCATACATACCTTCTATCACCCTGGTCGCAATACGTCTGTGCTAAATTCTAACAACAAGAGGGCCGAGTGTCGGGCCGTCTCATTCGAGTTTCTGAATTGCTACCTCCCGAAAGACTTGGAGCGCTTGGACGGGTGTTCGTCACCAACTAGAATGAATAGACTACAACGTTTGATGACTCTGAACCACGCGGTCAAGTCCGGGACAGGTCGAACGAATGTCTGGAATCACCGGGAGCCTAGTAGTAGTAATCAAGGCACAGCTGGCGGTGACTCCAGCCACCCCTGGGTCACTATCGGCCCAGTGGCACTCCACGAGCACAGTGTGCTCCGGGACTACTCACTCGTCCGCCTGGGACATGTGAGAGTCTAAACTATTGATTATTCCACTTCCCAGGTATTCCTCTTGTTTGGCCTTACATCCTAGCAGCATGGCGCAGTGGTAGCGCGCAGGGCCCATACTTCCATGTGTGGAACCCTGAGGTCACTTGACCGAAACAAGTTGCTGCTAATACTGTGAGTCCGTCTCGGAGCGAAATATTTTTCTGGGATTTTACAAGCTACATTCGAGTCCCAAGCTACAGGACGGAGGAAACTTCTTTCTGGACCTCATGTACCAACCAGACGTGGATTTTTGTCGAAGGCGACTTTGCTGTTACATATTCTACAAAACGTATGTACAAGGCCACAGAGATTAGGTGGTAGATATACAGAGGAAAAGTGTACAGATATAAATCATAGTCTTTGTAGACAAGCGGTCGTGAGCAGGGGAGAGGGGAGATTGTAAGTAGGTTGACGATACATGATACAGAAATGTACAAGGGACACAAGGGTTACATACATACAACAAGCAAGCAAGAAATAACAACACAAAAAACAAGACGACGAGTTCAAAAAGAAGAAAAAGAAGATAATCTTACATTATGACACACCCATCGTTTCCATTCATCTCGAGGTGATTGGGTGAATTCGTACCACTTCCCGACTGGGACCTTCTCCCACCAGGGGACCACCACCTCATGCCACCTCTCCCACTTCCACCGCGTCTCGACGAGGATGCTCTCCCAACGTCGGCCTCCGACTCTGTCAGCTCAGAGTCGTTGCTAGCATTGACTTTCCTCTTCCGGTTACGTTTCTCCCGGGCAGCCCAGACGGTGTCGACATTCTGCCACGAATAGAACGTCTTCAGCGCCACCCTATCCTCATCCAGCTCGTCCTGACCCAGGGCGACTTTCACAATAGCTTCCTTCTCCTTATCTTTCTCCCGTTCTGTCACCGAGCGTTCAGAATTCCCTAAGGGGGCCGAGCGGGTCTCGAAGTCCCTCACATCGAAGAACTTGAGTTTCCTCGCATCCCATGACCGCCAGCCCATCCTCGGTCTAATTTCGCTGCTCAATTCTCTCACTACGGCTTCTCCAACCAACCGGCAATCAACAGCGACGATCAAAGCGTTCCTAATCTTCCGTTTACGTGTGGCCTCGACGAACGTCCTGACGACATTGGAACCGATCCTCGTGTTGTCGAGTTCCAAGGCCTTTAGACGCGGACAGTGTCGAATGAGGTCAATCAACGAATTGTCGGTGATGTGAGAAGCGTAAGAGAGGATAAGATGTTCTAAGCGATAGCCAGGTTCCTCTGGTGCAACACGAATCCGCGTTCCTGAGCTGTTGCTATCATCCTCAACATCCAGGAGAACAGGGTCCTCGGCTACGGGCGTAAGTGCGACCAACACTCCATCTGTGACGTCGCAAGCATCCTCCAGATCCAGCTTCCTGATCAATGGCATCATCTCAAGCATCTTGATCAGCCCCTCATCCTTCAGTTCTTCTCCAATACCCGCCATTTCATATATCTCCATCGCAGGGATTGCGCCAGCCAGATGTGCACAAGCACCATCCGTCAGGAGGTGGCACCCAGACAATGATAGGCGACGGAGCTTGGTAACCCGTTTCATGGTCTTCAACCCATCAGCCAGGTACTCCATGGAAGGTTGTCCATCCACAGCCTGCACGAAGGCTTCGATGCCAGTGTTATGAAGTTGCCTTGCGTCGGTCAGGTCCAAGACCTCAAGATAAGACGCCGCCTTCGCCAGCGTCGTCATCATCTTGTCGGAGACGTTCTTCAACCCATTGAGGTGCAACTCCTTCATATCTACCCAATCGTGTGCACTGAGCATCCGCAGTATCCCCTCCCCGTCGACGTGAGGACAGCGACCAATGTCAAGGGAAATGAGTTTGTGACAGTACATCGCGAGGATGTCGCATGTTGTGTTCGTCACTACGGGTAATCCTTTGACGCAGAGTCGTTCAAGAAGAGGGGAGCGTACGAGAAGGTGATGCAGGGAGCGTGTGCTGACAGAGCTACAGCCCCTCAGGTTTATGGTCGTTAATCTGGTAGAACCATTACTGCTTGATGCCAAGTCGCGATCGGGAGGAATGGTCGTAAGCTTGTCGGCAATGTCTAGGAGGGTGTTTGCATTGAGATGAGCGTGTCCGGAGAGATCTAAGGCAGTGGTGAACTGGCCACCGGCATTGGCAAGGCGGGATATGAGGCCCTTTGGCAGAGAGGGGAAGGAATGGAGATTCAGGGATGCCCAGAGCTGACCATCGAAGACGAGCGATTGCCATTCCCTTGATACCTGATGAAAGCTTTCAATGATTGAAGATGCCACGAACAAGAAAACATTTCCTTACCCTACTAATCCTCACGAGATGAACGATAGCTTTATCCTTGCCAACCCACCGATTCTTTGACGAAGAAGCTTTAAGGGACGTCCAATGGCCCTTGTCAATGGCACTCTGATGTTCGAACTCATACAGTTCCACGAATGACCGTACAATCTTCAGTTTGAGCTCGCGGGGGAGCTTCTCGTCGAAGTGGTTTCGTGGGGGTATAGAAGGAATGGGGATTGCGATAGGCAAGAACACGTCTTGTGAAGTGGGAGGAATGATATCTAGGATAGAAAGTGGATAAGGAGATGATTGTGATCGTCCCTTGGCCTTCAGTAAGGCATGAAATGCTGCGGGGTCTGTGATGAAAACTTTGTCATAGTTGAGGTTGGACGAACCGATATCCAGTGGCTGAGAGATGGACGCCGGGATATGGTCCGCGGAGATGCCTGAAGATTCTGCAACCTTCTTGCTCAAGAGCTTACGGGTGAAGGCACTTGTGGAAGATGCTCCCAACTTGTGCTTGAGCTTTGACAAGGACGCCGCGCTGAGAGAACGCGTGCGTGAATGTGGAAACGAGTGTCGACGGATAGACTTGTGTTGCACAGTCGACGCGTCTGGAGGAAGTGCAATCGGTTGAGATGCACCGGGCGTCGAATGGCCTGACTGAGATTCGTGTACATGGGCTAAAAGAGGAGAGGATAAAGAAATCCCCGAAGGAAGTGGAGCCTGATCAAATGCGGTATTCATCGGTGCGAAGGTCAAGGGGGGGATCGTTGGGGGTGAATCCGAGTCATCCTCCGCGCTGCTCGCCTTCGCCTTCCCTTTCCACCCCGGGCTTGTGCCTACCAACAAAGCGTTACCAGACTCTGGTGACGAATGTTGCCAGACCGACGTGAATGAACCCAAGGTGAAAGTGGGGGACGACGGTGATGGTGACGACCTTCCAACCACGGGAGTCTCAGGAGGTTCACTGTAGCTCGAGGATGCTGGCCACGGGGATGAAAACGAGATACCGCAGTCGTCCAGAACGCTGAAACCTCGTTCACCGGGTAACATTATCGGAACAGGTTGAGAGACCGCCTTGCCCTTTCCCTTCCCCATTTCGAGATTGGATTCGTCCATTTGTACGGACATCGAGGAAGAGGTCGATCCAAAGTCGGTCGCAGATTCAAGAGGGTCGAAGAACAAGAGAGGATCCTCGTTATCGATAGAATGTGGTCCGCTCATGTTGGGGGAAAGGCTTTCACCATGCACCAGGTTGTGAGTGAAATAGAAGAAGAGCACACAGCTTGCTAGAAGAACTACAGAGAGCGAAATGAAGAGATTGGAATGGTCGATAAGAAAGAAGAGAATTAAACCATGGTGGTCGACCCGAGGGATCCCAGTAGAGCCTGCCGGGTGAGATGGCCCGTGCGGCGTCAGGCGACCGTCTCCTCGATTACTAAGCAAAAATTTCCTATTCAGGGCATGTTGGGCCAGGATAGGGGAGTGGGCAATGGGCTTTCAAGTGGGGGTTCCCTGAAGAGTTGCTGAGGAGGACGTTTGGAGACGCAGGCTAATCGAGCCAAGCCAGGATCGTAGAGATAGAGACCAGGTTCATTCCTTCCCCGGTTGAAACAGCTCCCCAGAGTCAGACCGCGCAGGACGGAAAGGTTAAGACGTTAAGACCAAGATGAGAGATTTAGGCTCCCGGGAATGACTATGACTACAATTTCGGTAAGAGAATGGAAGGAAGGATAACTATGAACACAGCGGCTAGCATTAGTGTACCCAAGTAGGAACTTGCAGTATAACTGCCGAGCGGGTAGGTATCAAGATAGAAGGGTTGTAGACTAAGATGGGTATAAGAGATTTGGTGGACCCAACAATAATAGAAGTAGCAAGCGAAAACGATCATGATAGCGACAGATGTGGGCCAAGAAACGAGGCGATGGCAAGGGAGTGACAGAAGACAAAGGGCATGGCAATAGCGAGTACATGGGTATACGGCGTGTCGAAACAAGTCCGCATCAATCTTAATCTTTCTCGCGGTTTGGGTTCTCTGGAGCCTTCTTCCAATTTGCGGTCGCAAGTTTGAACCTTCGAGCAAGTAAAGAAAGCATCATCAAGTCAGATTTGCGCTTTGGCCAGAACATGATAGCCAATACATACCTGTCTTGGTGACTTATATCGGGTTCCGACTCCTTCAGACGGTGGAGTTCTTCCTTCTGAGTGCGAGAGTAAGGTCAGATGGCGGCGAGGAGACCGTCACGGAGGGAAAAGGCATTACGATGAACTTGTTGAATGGTGTCAGCTTCTTCTTGCCCGTACGGCCAGTCGAGCGCGGTCTCTTCGGTTTGGCACCTTGGCCAGATCCACTCGCTGCAAGGTCTCATGAGAAATCCGCAAGCTCTACGGAGGCACGGACCGGACCTTTTGAGTCTTTGGAGGGACGAGGGGCCATTGTGTAGACAAAAACACGTCGAAAACGCGATCTTAGACGTCTAGGGGACTATAGACACCTCAGTCAGTAACCCATGACCAGCTCTATAGAGAACGCGTACTTGTGACCGGACTAGTGCCGCAAGGAAGCGACGAGTGTTGGAAAAAGGGAGGGGAGGAGATGAGCGCGAGGGGGTTGCAGTGGGGTGGAGGTCAAGTGTCGGAAAGAAAAGAGGTATCAGTGGGCCGGAACTTTATATCCTAAGCAGGTACGCGTGCGCATCGTGACACATCCTTCGTTCGTAGTTTGTGATTTTTTTCTTTTCAATTCGTGATCCTGATTCCAAGGACTAAGGGCCCCCTGCCACTTATGGGCGCGTGTTTATTAAAAAAAGGGTTCCCACACTCCGTTCAGGCG